GATAAAAAGTTGTAACAATGTTTCATTAACCACAAAACTTAGGAGGTCGAGATAAGATCATAATTGGTATCAGATGATTACTATGGCAATCTAAATTGGAAAAAAATGACAGACCCCCTATTTTCCATTGATTGGACAAACAGGTCTGGATGAAATTGGCCACGAATCATTGGTTTTGGGTGACATTTACTTTCAGAGACCCTGAATATCAGAGCTTTGGTTTGTCTCACACCCCGTATAACCTCAAAAAGACATAATTCACCTCATGAGCGCGAGGGCCACTTATCAGAGGTGAAGGCCTAATAAAACCGACAAAACGTCACATTCTTATCCCCACCCGAATCACAGCACTTCCAGTGATGGAAAAACTAAGTGAGAACAATTCGAACTATGAGCCCGTCTGGCCACGATCCGACCCAAAACCTCCCACGGAGCTCCCAGGATCCTTCAGGATGAGAGATCCAACTCCCCTCGAGCCGTCAAAGAGACTTACTTTGTCTAGTCGAACAAAAGGGGCAAAAGAAAAGCAGAATGTATCAGTCTGGACATAATCCCAGCTGACTTGAACCTGAAAGGAGTCCAGGTTGAGATGGTTCCCTCACATCCTGGGGCCAGTTGTTCAGAAGGTTTAATCTGGATCAGAATGATCTGGATTTGGAAATCCCATGTTTTGCTATCCAGGATCAGGTGACGTGCCGCCGGACTCGAGGGCCACTCTGGCTGAAGACCTCAGAAACCTTCAGCAACGCTCTGTGATTTACTGTAAAGATGCGCATACATATTTCCCATAACACACAGTTAGTCATGCAGGAGGAGAGCTTTCCCACACACACCTCGAGGTTTGGGATTGCAGGATGATTCCCAGCAGTCCAGGACGTTACAGGAATCTCAAGCAGACGTGCTCTGGCTATTCAGCAACACCTGAGAATAAAAACGGGTCAAAGGTTCAGTGTAAGAATGTCTGAGAAAATGAAACATCCAAAAATATGCATGAAATCAAATCTTTGTTTTCATGTGGTTTGGAAAAACCTTTGCACTACTTTCAGGAAATGTTTTGATTCATGGAAATATCAAGTAAAAAAAAAAGGCTTATTTTCTTTGCATCAGAAAAAAACTGAGTTTACTCACCTTGAGGGTTATTTTCAAGTATAGTTTCAAATGTACAACTTATATTTTTAACAAAGTCTTCTAGTTGTTTTAACATTTGACAACTTAAACTTCAGTGTTTCCATGCCATAAATTGAATTATACTGTATGTTCATTTTCAAAGATTTACTTACCTTCACACATACAGCCATGAGGGTCTGGAGGTGTTTGTGAGGTCATTTCCTGTTTACTTCTTGTCACATGACAACAAAATGTATTCTTGTTTTTTTTTGTTTTTTTATCATTTCAAATAAAAAAGGCATTATCACTGTGAAACAAGCCCTCAATAAACCCAAGAAGAAAACATTGGAACAAACAAATAAATGAAATAAAAATTAAATAATTTACAAATAACAAAAAGCAAATATATAAAAGCAAACTTTTAATTAAAAAATAAAACTTATTTTGTATATATTGCAAGTAATTTATAGATTTAAGCTATATTAAAGTTCCTTTAAGGATTGAGATTTTTTTTTTAATCAATTTTAAATGCCACAGAACTTGCAGCAACTTCAACAAATCTACATTTGTGGAACTAAAACATATATCATCAATATACGATAACACAAAAATGTGATTTTCAAAAGCAGGTATTACACTGATTGCGATTTGTGATGGTTGTATAGCGAGTACTACAATCTTTTCGACTGCTTGATTAGGTTTTTAATTACAAGAAGTTTCAAACAAATCAGTTTAATTAACATATTCCAAGAATTAATGATAAAAGCTACATACATAAGTCAATTTATATTGCTTTATTAATAAATTAATAGATTCAGACACAAAAATAGACCTGCACTAAAGGTAAAGGATAAAAAAATTTCACATACAGCAAAAAAAAATTATCATTTAAAATATGAATTTTATATTTATAACATTAAGGGAAAGAAGAAACCTCATGTTATATTGACTGGAAAATTAAGAGCTCTTACAAGATACTTTTTTCCCCGTTAGTGTTGAGACTGACTGTAATTAGCATAGCTGTTGAATTTCTGACCAATAAACAACGATGAATAGTTTTAAATCAAATATTTTATCTATTAATATCTTATCATATTGCAGTTGCCACCATCTGATAATAGCTCATTCCTTTATCTTACTTTATTTTAATCATAAAATGTTTAAATGAGGGATGCTTAAGGACTTCCCCCCATATTAATTTCATTAGATAACAGTCTAAAGAGGAGAATTTGGGAAGTTTCAGGATTGTGTGTGTAACCGCAAAGGAAAGTGCTGCCCTCTTCAGGTGGAAAAACAAAAATGTGCAAATACTCCAGAGGAAAAAAAAAAAACATTTATTATTATATTCTTTAAATATAAATCACACACGAAGTATCTCAGTCACATTGGGCTCATCGTTTATAGTTCATGAAACAGTCTGTGAGCGAAATCACTTGCTCTTTTTCTTCTTTTTGGCGGCAGGCGCGTCCTGCGGGCCGTCGTTGCTCTCGGCCGCTCTCTTTCTGGACCCATCTTACTTTTGTGCTGGTTTTTCAAAGCAAACTTGGATTGGATCACCCTGATCCAGATACACACTTTTTCAGATTTCCAAATCTGGATTATTAGCACTCTACGGAGCCCCTAAAGTTACATGCTGATGGGGGGATAAATGCAGATGTTTTGTTTTAAATGTGCAAATACTCCAGAGGAAAAAAAAAAAACATTTATTATTATATTCTTTAAATATAAATCACACACGAAGTATCTCAGTCACATTGGGCTCATCGTTTATAGTTCATGAAACAGTCTGTGAGCGAAATCACTTGCTCTTTTTCTTCTTTTTGGCGGCAGGCGCGTCCTGCGGGCCGTCGTTGCTCTCGGCCGCTCTCTTTCTGCTGGTTTTATCGTTCACGTATCTGCTGGAGTCGCTCGTCGAGAGCTCGGAGGGCAAGATCTCATCCGACTCCTGTCGTTCTTTCTTCTTCCTCTTCTTCTCTTTGTGATGTCTGTTTGCATTGGAGTCTATCTCTGCCGTGTCTGCGGCGGTTTGGTGGTTTTCTGACGTTTGCTCCAGGCCTCTGTCGTTCTGAGACTCTTTCTCACACTTGTCTTTCTTCTTTTTCTTCTTGGGTTTCGGGCTGTCGATTGTGTCTTCTGTGGATTCTGGTTCTGTAGTTGATTCTACTGTTGATTCCTTTTGTTCGGTTTGGACCACAAGCTCTTGCACTCTGAAAATCAATAAATTATTATTAGTAACGACACATTTATCTCTCAAGTCGATACTATTACAATACTTGGGTGCCAAATCGATGTATTGCATTTTTATTTTATTTTATTATTTTTACAATGCATTGCAATTTATAAAACGGAGAGTTCCGGTCCTTGATTCTGATTGGCTGAGCCGCGTTCGAAGCTGTTGTAAATTACTCTACAAACATACACCTTTGTTTACGTTTGTGTGTTAATCGGCAACCACTTTATTGGAACCACAACTGTTTCAGAGGAACTACATTGTTTGGTGGAAGAATACTGTTTTTATTAATATCATTACACTTTATTTGCTCTGTTTTATTCTGTGAAACCTTACTACGTATATGAAAGTTTTATTACATTTTTGTTCCTGAAATCTACCCTTCTGCTGGGATCAGAATAATCTTTTTTTTTTATCAAAAGTACCCCAATCTTACTAAAACGTTTTGAACAGCACAAATTAAGGATTTAATCCAGATCAAAACCAAGATTGAATTTTGTGATCTAATCGGAATTCGGAATCCTTTTTTTCTTTTGAACAACCCATTTTCAAGATTTGATCCATTCTGATGGCCAAAATCCGATCAGATTACTTTTGAACAACTGGCCCCTGACGTGCCGCCGGACTCGAGGGCCACTCTGGCTGAAGACCTCAGAAAACTTCAGCAACGCTCTGTGATTTACTGTAAAGATGCGCATACATATTTCCCATAACACACAGTTAGTCATGCAGGAGGAGAGCTTTCCCACACACACCTCGAGGTTTGGGATTGCAGGATGATTCCCAGCAGTCCAGGACGTTACAGGAATCTCAAGCAGACGTGCTCTGGATGGTCATTTCAAAACCCTGGATTTTATTTAAACAAAACAAAAAATCAGTAAAGTAAAATTAAAAAATACTTTTAGTAAATAAATAGCTACATTGAGCTGTCCCTGCCAATAACAAAACAATAAATTGCATAAGAAATGTTTTTTTTTTTTTTACAAAAACACAGAAAATGAAATTAAAGTTTTGATTTTGCCAGGAAAACCGAAACCAAAAAAAGTATATTTAATAATCATTTACTTAATAATCAACAACCCCCCCCCCCCCCCAAAATTAAAACACCAACCACCAGAACACCAATTAAACACCACTTCTTCAGTAAATTATTCTTTATAAACATGGACTAAAATAAAACGATTTAATATGAATTATTATTGATTCTGGAATAAAAAAAAATTATCACAATAATCCACACCACTCCAGACCATCAGTTAATGTCTTTTGAAGAGAAAAGCTGCGTGTTTGTAAAAAAACAAATCCATCATTAAGATTTTTAAACTTCAAACTGTTGCTTCCGGCTAAAATATGAGTCCATAATCCATGATAACGCTTCCTTCAGTGAAAAAGTCCATCTCCTGTTGTCTCTCACATCAATAAAAGAGCTGCTTTTGCTCGTAATCTGTGCAGATTTCTCTCCTGATTCAGACGAAATGACTTTCACTGGAAGAAGTGTTATTAAGGATTATGGACTCATATTTTGTCCAGAAGCACCGGTATAAAGTTTAAACGCCTTAATAATAGAAATGTTTCTTACAAACACGCAGCTTTTTGCTTCACAGGATGTTAATTGTGAACTAACCCTTTAAAAACCATCAGCCAATTAACTCATAATCATGCATAGAACATGACCTCTAGTTCATGAAGATCTCGTAAGACGTACCACGAGCTTCGATCCTTTCTTTGGTTTGAAGACTACGAACGACGCCTCGATGTTGAAGTGAATGAACCCTCGATCGTCATGAATATCTCCATGCTGTCCTACGACTTTAATGTTGTCATATGCCATAGGAACACCTTTCAGACTGCAAAACAACAGAGATGAACGAATGGCTGTCAGATATTTTCTTAGTTGTAATCTTTATTAACAAATGATGTTTAAGTTTCAGCTGAGTACAATAGTTGATAATCATAATTTCAGTCAAGAGAGCTCTAAGATTATACTGAAAATTTTTTAAATCACATTTTTTATTCACTAATTAGATTTTTTTTTATTTAAAAATTTTAAATAATTTACACCAATCAAATTAATGAATAAAAATGTGATTAAAATACATAAGAACTATAAACAAAATATAAAAGTAATAATCTAACGTAATTGAAAATAAATACATATTTTCCAAATAACACAGCGCTGCAACTTATGCTAATATGAAAAAAATTAAATTAAAATTAACGCTGTATACAAGCATCTAAACTGCACATAAGGCAATTTAGGTATGAAATATATAAACCTTTTAATGATATAATTACGTTTTTACTCCCATTTGTTGTTGAAACAAACATTTAAACAGTGCGTGTAATAAAACTTCATAACAGATTTATTAAAAAAAAAATAATAATAATAATAATGAAGACATTATTAACAGGTTAATAAAAATATAGGCTAATAAATATGCATATGTAGAGCAGCTGAACTCAAAAGTTTACACACACACCTCGCAGAATCTGCAAAATGTTAATTATTTTACCAAAATAAGAGGGATCATACAAAATGCATTGTTTATTTAGTACTGACCTGAATATGTGAAGATATTTCACATAAAAGATGTTTACATATAGTCCACAAGAGAAAATAATAGTTGAATTTAAAAAAAAATGACCCCCATTATATTTAGCAAAATTCTCCTTTCTAGAGCAAAAAAAAAAAAGACTTTCACAGACGTCAATGAAAACTTTCCATCACATATTACAGAAAACATAGATAATTATTTAGTAGTTTTGTAATCTGCCTGTTATAAACTGCTAATTTCTACACAAACTACATGCAAGTCATAATCAAACTAGTGCACTAGTTTTTTTCTGTCTTTGGAAGTTGACTGTACTAGATTCAACTGACTTTAACCAGCAGTAAAAGTATGACAACCTTACAAACACAGAAAAAAGGGCTCCGCTTGATCCCGCTTGTCACTGGAGCAGGACATATTTGTACATTTTTTACCCCTATTAGGTACATATTAGTTCCTTAAGGGTAGGTATTACTTCTCTAAGGTACTAAAATGTACCTAATAGGAGTAAAAAAAAAAAATAATTTGATGTCCTTTTAAGGGTAACATTACTGCTCCAATGACAAGCTGTTGCACCCTAAAAGGTACAATTTTGGCCCCCGTTTTTTCTGTGTGAGGAGTACCATGGTATTACCGTACTTTTATATCAAAGCAGCAGTGACACACAACGACAAGTTTACAAAAAGTACTATAGCAGCCTATTTTTTAAGGTATTAAGGTTTTATTGACTGTATCATAATACTGAAAGACAAGCACTTATACACGAGTATCGTGTAGTTATAGATACCGCGGCGTTAGCATCATACCGCGGTATTTCCTCTGCAGCCTGTGGTTTTACCTGCTGGAGAATTTGAGCAGCTCGGCGTTGAGTTCCTCCTGTATACCGGTGCGTTTCTTCCGCAGGTACTGCGGCGGCAGCGCGATGTGTCTGCGGTGCGAGTCCAGCACGAGACACGAGTACCGCGCGCTCAGCAGCTTCACCGCGTCCGCGAACGACGGGATGAGACACGGAACCGGCGCGGAGACTCCGCCGGCGACATTTCCCCTGGATATCTGCGCTATCGTCGACACATCCGCGGGGTTTGTGACGGGTTTCGGAGCTCCGTCTTCCTGCGTCCAGTTCGCCATGCCGTACACATGTGGAGGAGCACGTGGTGCGTTCGCTCGCGTGTTCGCAAGCGAAAAGTGCGGAGTGACGCGCGACCGCTGGCGGATAGGAGTGGAACTACACGTACAAAAATAAATAAAATAAAATAAAAGCATTTTAATAAAATATTTATTTATGTTGTTTTGGTTAATAGTACGGAACTATTTATTAGTTAGAAACAATTAACTTTCTTAATTATAATTATAATTAACTAAAATAAAAATAACAATTATAATTAAAAATAAAAAAATCTAAATAATTAATTCTAAAATAAAATATAATACAATAAAATTAATCTCTTGTGATTTTGTTTTGATTTTTCTGTTGTTTTGGTAAATAGTAAGAGACTATTTAAAAGTTAAAAAATAACAAATTAACTTTGTTAATTATAATTAAATAAAACATAAAAAATATAAAATATAAATTATAAATAACTAATTTAAAAAATAAATAAAATACAAATTTTAACAATATTTTTTATGTTGTTTTGATAAATAGTAAGGAGCTATTTAAAAGTTAATAATTAACTTTCTTAATTATAATTATAATTAACTCAAATAAAAATAATTCAATATAAATTTTAAATAATTAACCATAAAAATAAAACAAAATAAAATTAGTCTCTTGTGATTTTGTTTAGATTTTTGTCTGTCATTTTTGTAGATAGGAGGCTATTTAAAAGTAAAAAACTAATTAACTTTATTAATTACAATTATAATTAACTAACATTTAAAAATATTATTCAATATACATTATAAATAACTAATTTAATAAATAAATAAAGCGTGATTTTGCTTGAGTTATTTCAGCTGTTTTTGCTATAAGCAGCTATATTATTTACATGATTAATAGTAAGGAATTATTTAAAAGAAAAATAAAGAATAATTAAAATTAAATATAATTTACAATTAATGAGAAATAATCAAAAAGAAAAATTAAAAAGAAAACTAAGAAATAACTTAAATATTAAATTAAACAAGAATTTTTTAAATTTTTTATTAATGGAATAAATGACAAATGGATGAAGGGGACACTGACTGAAATAAAATAATAAAACTTAATAAAAAATAAAAAATTTGTAGACTTAGTCTAGTATGTATATTAAAGATGTAGACTATATTAAAAATAAACTCTGTGGTGTGTGAATTAAAAGTGTTACTGTGTGTTAATGGCTTAATCATCAGTCATAATGCCACAAATTACATTTGACATCTTTATTTCATTTTCATACGAAGCCTCTATATAAAAATACTGTAAATTAATAAATATCTTTACAGGCATTTTACCAAATGGATGAAGGGGACACTGACTGAAATAAAATAATAAAACACTTCTGAAAAAAAATTTGTAGACTTAGTCTAGTATGTATATTAAAGATGTAGACTATATTAAAAATAAACTCTGTGGTGTGTGAATTAAAAGTGTTACTGTGTGTTAATGGCTTAATCATCAGTCATAATGCCACAAATTACATTTGACATCTTTATTTCATTTTCATACGAAGCCTCTATATAAAAATACTGTAAATTAATAAATATCTTTACAGGCATTTTACAGTGTGCATTTATACGATCAGGATAAAAGCATTCAGTTTACCATACAGTATCAGGATTACAATTTCAGATTCAACATTCCCTTCATTTAGATACAGGGAGAGAGAAAGAGATACAGAAAGAGAGAGAAGATCGTTTACATGCTTTTTTTGTACTCAAATATCTGTTTTCTGTACGCTGGTTCGTCAAGGTCATCAGCTCTGACCTCTCCTGAGGTCATCAGGTAACTGGACACTGATTGGCTGTCTGTCTGCTCAATACTGTTATCTGACGCTCTGTCTACAGGATGTCCTGTGAACGCCATCTGTGCTTCTACTGTCAGCTCGTCTCAACCAATCAGAGTGAAGAACTGTCAGCCTGACTCAGCCAATCAGGGGGAAGAACTGTGCTGTTAAGAGCGAGTGGGCAGCGAGCTGTCACGGCGAAGCGCTCCGTCCGTTGAAGGAGATTTGAGAGATGCCATTGCTGCTGGTATCCAAAACCTCCTGCAAACAGACAAACACACGGCCGAGTTTGTGAGGAGGTTTCGCTACGAGATACACATTCAAACAGACAGGATAGAGAAAACCTCAATTTTTAGCTACTGTATGAGTGAGATGAGCTTGTTTCTGCATCAGATTTGGAGAAATGTAGCATTGCATCACTTCTCACCAATGGATGCTCTGCAGTGAATGGGTGCCGTCAGAATGAGAGTCCAAACAGCTGATAAAAACATCACAATAATCCACAAGTAATCCACACCACTCCAGTCCATCAGTTAATGTCTTGTGAAGCCAAAAGCTGCATGTTTGTAAGAAACAAAATCATCATGAAGACATTTTTAACTTCAAACCATTGCTTCCTGCTAAAATACGAGTCCATAATCCATAATAACACTTCCTCCAGTGAAAAAAAAATTTTGCTAGATCCAGAATAGAAATCTGCACAACTCTCATTCTGACGGCACCCATTCACTGCAGAGCATCCATTGGTGAACAAGTGATGCAGTGCTACATTTCTCCAAATCTGATGAAGAAACAGACTCATCTACATTAACCTTCAACTCTAATATATCAACAAAACGAAGCAAGAAGTTTGAATCTGGGTTTATTCAATGTTCATATTTCTGTTCTGGAAATTTCTGTATTAAGTATGAAAACTGAGTCAGCTTTAATGTAACGTTGACTGTAAGTGTATGAGATACACTGGCACACACAGACCGCACAAACATACCAGCTCCTGGCGTACCTTCTCTGCCATTTCTTGCGAGTGATGCAGTGAATGTTCTCTCTCCAGAAACATGCGCTGCTGTTCGCTGCTGGCCAGTCTGCAGGTCAGCCATGTGGACAGCGTGCAGCTGCTGATGCCCAGACATGCTAGAGACATGATGGCCAAATGAAGAGAGCGCATGGCATCTGGACGCTTGACCAGTGCACGGACAAACTGGAAGTTCAGGATTCCACCGATTAACCCACAAATGCAGCAGGAGGAAAATAATATCATCTGAGAGAGAAAAGCATACATAATGTTAGCTGTTTGTGTATGCATATTGCGTGCATACAACATTAAAATAATAATGCATACTGCATGCATATATCATTAAAACAATAACACATATTGCATGCATATATCGAAATAACAATGCACATTGCATGCAAACATTAAAATAATATTGCATATTGTATGCATACATCATTAAAATAATAATGCATATTGCATGCATACAACATTCAAATAATAATGCATATTGAATGCATATATCATCAAAATAATAACGCATTGCATTCATATAATATCAAAATAATAATGCATATTGCATGCAAACATCATTAAAATAATAATGCATATTGCATGCATACATCATTAAAATAATAATGCATATTGCATGCATACAACATCCAAATAATAATGCATATTGCATGAAAACATCAACTAAATAATAATGCATATTGCTTGCATACATCATTAAAATAATAACACATATTGCATAGATACACCATTAAAATAATGCATATTGCATGCAATATCAAAACAATCATGCATATTGCATACAGTAAAATAACGCATATTAAATATATTAAATATTGCATGCACACATTATTGAAATAATGTATATTGCATGCATACAATATTAAAAGAATAACGCATAAAACATGCATTTAAAATTGAAATAATGCATATTTCATGCATTCGTCAATCGTCATTAAAATAATGCATACATTATTAAAATTATTATACACTATTACAAATGCTTTAATAGTTTAACTTTTTCTGGTGGACTGAAACCAGTAAGTAAAAAAGAAAGTAAAATATAATCAGAAAGTAAAAATCAGACAGTAAAATATCAGTTAAATTATCAAAGTAGTGTTTGCCTATGTAAAAGTAACAACCAAAGTGCTAGGGGCGTTGCTATGCATTTCCTAAGGTGTTCTGATTGGTTTCCATGCTCATAAAGGTCACAGTATATTAATCGGGAAGCGTACAGCACAGCAGAAATACTGTATACGGAGGATGAAGATGAAACCATTGTGTACTGGGAGAATGGATTGTGCTGCTCTGTGATTTTATAATCGGTCAGACCACGTCCAGACAGTGACATTATCTGCCTGTAGAAAACTGCCACCTCAACACTTCAGGACAGATCTGACCTCAAATTACACAAGAGACTTCTGACTCCACAGCACAGTCTCACATTATCACGTTATCCTTATTCCTGGATGGCACACCCCTTTTTAGTGCGCAATAACTGCTACTGTCACTGCTTGGTATTGTGCACTGCAGAAATTGTTGGCTCCTATGATAAATAGCTTACACTAATAAGGGTGTGCAAATGACTAAAATGTAAATGTACTGTTGGTAGACACTATGATCAAAATAGCATACCATCATACCACTTGTTTTTGCAGTATATACAGTGCACTAGGAAGGTCTATATTAAAACATGTGCATTTCCATTCATATAAAAGGTCGTTCAGCTCATCATTTATAATGATTATATTGTAAATATCCATTATTTGTGACTTTTTAATGTAAGGCACTACAGGTGAATAGGGTAACATTTTAACTAATGCTGTAAATATCATCATAAACCCAGCTGATTAATCACAGTACATTAAGACAATTATTTTGCATTACAAAAATATAACAAATATAACAAAATATGCAAATGAGGCATTATATGATTAAATATGCACTAATTTGCAAACATTTCCAGACCAGAAATCTGAGCATCGGATTTTTTGCTGTTTTCTTGATTTCTTTGATTCTCGTAGAATTACGTCTTCTACTGTAATTTCCACATGAACATTAGATAAAGCCAGATTAAAAATTCTTGTTTCATTTTGTTGACATATTAGAGTTAATGGTTTTTCCTGAGGGCATTTTGGATATCTCCTTTTATTACTCTGTAAATGAGAAAATACTGTCAACAGGTAGAAAAATATACATTTGAACCATATTTTTTGGAATAAAATGTTACAAAAAAGCTTGTAAATGATATATGAACAAATCCC